TAAAATGAGGACAAAAAAAAAAAAAAAAAAAAGCCAAAGTAAACACTATCTGGCCAACAATGGCAAGGCTAAGTAAAATCAACTCCCTAGAGAATTCAGCTTAGTAACTAGACAATCATAAGAACTGACATCAAGGTTTTGGGGGGGGAGGGTTTTGTTGTTGTTGTTTTATGGGGTTTGTTTTGTTGGGTTTTTTTAATACCACCTCAAGCCATGCCAGACAGTTCATCTAAGAGGCAACAGTAACTTCAATCAATCACTTCTATGTTCCAAATTTTCTAAACTGTACAATCTTTCAAATAAAAGTAGTCTTTTATTGTTGCCTTTTAAACTTCAAATTACGTGTACTATTTTAAATAATACAATGGAGCAGGTCTGATTTGATCACAAATAATAATTTTAAGATACAGCTCTAGTTAACAAAAGATTGCCAGTTATAAACCCAGAACACCTCTACCTATAGATTTTGTAACATTAGTTTAATTCAACTCCCATTTTTGTAGATATTCCAAGATATTATGAAGAAAATGCTTTGTCAATTTTACTAGGCAAGTACAAAGAAACAGGAAGACACAAGTATAACTGTAACTTAAGTCAAAGATATCAGACTCATTAACAAAATAAGGCAATATACTTCTGGTAGATCATTTACTTACCTCCACTTGCCGATTCTTGCTCTTCCCCTTCAGGAAACATAGCCTGGCTTGGCAAGCTATTTCTAGAACGAGTGACTGACTCTAAGTGTGAAGCCCTTCCCAACAGAGATAGCTCATCTAGCACCTCTCCTTCTTTGGCTTCCAAATCAGATTTTGAAGTAGTTAACTGTTTTATGTTACCTGGTGCCATTAAACTGTTTGGGTCATTTAAACAAGCTACTGTACCACTGTCTAGGCTTAATACCCTGGCACGATTCTTGGCACTGTTTGTGCTAGAAGTCCGACGTGTAGATCGTTTTTTGCTAATTCCTTCAGAGCTTACATGGGCTTTGTGAGCATTTTCAGAGTCCGTGCCCCCACGTTCTTTAGAAACATATTTGGTCTTTAGAGCACTGTACTTTCCTTCAGGAGACTGGCATGAATGGGAGGTGGTGCTGGAAGAACTATCACTGCTGAACTGGTGAGCTGACTGCATGCTCGATGTCCTGCTCAAGTCACTTTGATCACTGGAGTCCTCATCATGACAAAACACAGCACTGTGAGGTTTAGTACCAGATACACCTCGGAAGGAAACATATTCTCTGTGTCGACTTGAATCAAAACTACTAGCCCGTTTTTTTCCTGTCCTTCTCCTGCTGGACTTGTGGGCAGAGGCTGTTCGATGTATTAAACTAGAAGATTTTGGTCGAACATCTCCTTCTTTTTGTTTTCCACTTGTTTCTTTAGAAGCTTTTGAATCTACTAACACAGTTAGTTTCTCACTCTGCTCATCTCTTTGTTCAGCAGTCTTGCCAGGTGGCCTGTCAGCTTGTGTAGTCAATTCATTGGCATGTGGATTCTTATTGGCCTCTTCTGAAGCAGAGGCAACAGGACTTTTCTGACTGTGCATCTCATCAGATGCATTAGAACCCTTTACCTCTTGAACACCCTTGTCAGTGCTCACTTCCACGGCAGTCCTTTCACTACTAGTCCTTTTGTCAGTAGTAGAACTACTGTCATTCTCTGAGTCAACATCACAGTCCTTTTTCTTACCATCCTTTTTCTCTTCTCTAGGAGACTCCTCCTCATGCTCCGACAACACACTTTCTATATGTGTTGAGCTAGTATGTTCACTTTTATAGCTACTGATGGTACTGTTAGTATCACGATCAGTCCCACTGCAGTAGCTTTCTGTTGAACCACTGCTTCTAGTACTCAGGCTTCTCAGACTGTCCACACTTTTGTCTGCTTTCAAGGACTTGCTCTTCCCACTCTTAGCCAATGGTTGAGGGCTACTACTTTTCAGAATGTCATCTAATTGAAAAACTCCTGAAATGCAAGAGTTCTCAGGCAAGGACTCTCTGGATCCAGAAGGGGGCTTGGAAGCTTCTAACTCACTGACAGGATCTAGTCCTCGTCTTTGCTGGTAGAGAGGGAAGTCATTTAGTGAAGCATCTGGAAAGGCGACAGCAGAGCTAGAAGTCCTTGGTACACCTCGTGGTCTATGATCCTTCCTATAGGAGTGAGAATGCAGAGTTACAAGCGAAGCTACTTCTGTGTCACATGCACTGGTTTTAGACTGGTCCACAAGCTGGTTGTTCGAGAGGCACACTTTGTCACTGTTGTCTCTTGACAAATCCTGTCCAGAGGATAACGAAGGTTGGATGGAGACAAACGAGTCATTCGACACCAGATGAAAAAGCTTCCGATCAGTTGCCAAATCTGTTTAAGTACATATTTAAAAATATTCATGTAGAATGTTCATTTAAGTTATAAAATCTGCTTTACTACTGCTTGTTTGTATCAGATAACATAAATAAACTGATAGATCTATTTGCAAGTACTATGCACCATTTAAAAAATTTCCTAGCAACTGGGCAAACCTGACAGACTTTTTTTTATTTTAAAAACAAACAAAAACAAACCATCAACACCAGCTTAATCTTAGCAGCTAATAAAAGATAACATGATTCCAACATGATTCTGACAAGTCCTCAACCTCCTCTACTGCTCATGTGTCTCAGGCTTAACATTTTCATGTATCCCAAAATTTCTTAATTGTAAAAGGGTACTCTGCATTTTGTTTTATGTCCTATGTGCAGTAAACTGTTTGTTTCAGATGAACTTCAAAAATTATTAAATAAAGCAGAATAAATTCCATTAACTCTGAAGTTAAAAAAAAAAAAAAAAAACAACAACAACAACAAAAAACCCACAAAATGAAATCAAAATCACTCACCCTACTAGATAACCAAGTAAAGCTCACAGTTAGCAATGATGCAGGCACTGTTACAGGTCTAATAGTACTATAATGAAACTTCCTACAAAGTTGCTAAGTTTTACTACTTCTAAAACTGGTGCTATTAAAGCAAATCATGAGGATTTACTGTTAGCTCTTGCTCAGAACAAATTGTTTGTTTCTGTTATCAATCACAAGTGGTCTCCTGTAAAAGTGTCCACCTGCAGGTAGTATTAAAAAAAGTCAGGCTACTTTCCTTTTTGGTACTGTCACTAAGAATAGAAGATCTGCAAGCCAAATTAAGTTACTAAAATTGCTAAATTTTTGTAGAGTGTATTTGCACACATATGACTTAAGAGATGTCACAAACAGTACTGTTACTCAACTGAAAGTACTAGAACCCTGCTGCCTATTACAACAGCATGGCCACGTGTAATATTCTATTTAAAACATACTTCCTGCACTGAATCGCACAGTAACAACTGAAAGGAAAACCCATCAGTTTGATTAGACTGGCCAAAATGTACTACAGCATTCCCAGAGTTAACTTCCTGCAAATCACCAGGTACTTTAAAATCAGCAAACAAAAGATTTCCCTGCAGTTTAATACTCTGTTTTAGTCTAAGCAAATTTTTTCCGGGCAATAAAGCTAAATGAAAAATGGGATCTGAAACAAAATTGGTCAACTGAAGAATACAAGCTATTAGTTTCCTTACGACATACTAGGAAAACACAATGTCAAGGCTTTACATTACAAAACTCTGATTGCTTGCATGTTAGAAAGTCTACAGCTCCAGAAACACAGAAATCTATGGAAGGTTTACTTTACAGAAAAGCACACTTGATTTAAAAAAATTAATTTGATTGTACTGGAAAGCAAAGCAAATTAGTCTACAATGAAGTCCATGAAGGCAAAGCCACTTTCAGTGGAGAGAGATCGTCCAGAGAGATTGTCCAAAGACACATAAGCTAGCTGTCTTTCAGCAGTAAGGAGACAGAGAATACAGTAAGTATTTATTACCTGCTGGAAGATGCCAGAAAAAGAAACACACAGCCACAGAATAAAGTTAAAAGGATTCAAGATATGCATCCCAGGAACTTAAGAGCAATTAAGAAAGGAAACGAGAGCTTCAAGATACCCTTTCAGTAGAGTCTATCAACAGACTGCATCAATTTATTTAGCATGTTAAGCAAAGGGTCTCTAGTAAGAAAATACCATGTTTAATATGCAGGAAGAAGAAATTTTACCTTGTTCTTCACTCCCTTCTTTACACAGGCTAGAACTCCGGCCAAGACTTAAACTGATATCATCAGAGGTCTTGGCAGTGTCAGTATCTCCTGTGAATTTTAAGAAAGAAGAATACTAATGCTCAATGTATTAACATATACATCCAAATACACTGGAGATTTCTCACCCATCATGACAGACTGTTGCTTTTATTTCTTCATTTTAAGGTAAACAACAATAACTACAAGTAACACAAGATCTCCCTTATCTTTTAGGGATAAGTATAGTCTACTTCTTTTATTTAGTATATAAGAAAGTTTTCATTCAATTACACAGATCTTCCATGAAAAACTGGAAAAGTATCTTACACAGAAGCCAATGGAAATAAATATTTTTTTCCCCCTCAAAGATATATCTATTTAAATATTCCTTTTTACATGGTTGCCAAAAAAAAAAAAAAACACCCCAAAAAAGGAGGATTAGATCCTAACAAAACACTTGTAAAGATAAAAAAGCAAAGGAAAAATCAGGAAGGTAACAAAAATTTACATCTCTCATTTTCTTTTGTCTTATTACTGGGTTAACAGACTTACAGGTTAGTAACTTTGTATATTACAAATACTTTATCTTTTCATCTCAGAGGGGTTCACAAGGTCTGTCCTGGACAATAATTTTGCTAAATGCCAAGCACCCAGAAATAATCAAGTCACTGAAATACAATACCAGAAGGGCAAGTGGTCGCACAGAACTCAAAATTAGTAGAGAAAAGTCCCCTCAAACCAACTCCTTGGCTCTGCATTTACAAGCAAAAGAAAAAAAAAACCTGCTGTTATATGGAAAACAGAGCACAGATTCCAGGCTATTCTCTGCTAGTGTTTTAGGCACATAATTTGCAGCTCTAAGAAAGATTTGTTCCAATTAGTAAATGCTCTACTTAGCTCACAAAAAAAAAGTTTTTAAGATGAACAAGGCAGACAGTATTTGGAAACAACACAGTAAACAATAGTGATCTGAAGTGTTACTGCAAGGCAATTTTAAGGAGTAGCCAAAAGTCTTACCTTTGATGTTTGCTGTTGTTCCCAGACGAGATAATCCAGATCCAACCTAGAAAGCAAGAATTATGTAAAAAACTGTAAACTTTCAGAAATTACTCAGTTGTTGTTTCCTATTACTGCAATGCATGCATTTGCCTATAAACCTAGGAGAGCTTTTCAAAGACACAAAAGCATCCAACTACACAGTGGTATAAAATCCATTCTGACTCAGAATGTTTCACTGCAAACAGAGATGACAGGGCACTTAATTACACATTCAATTGTGTCACTGAATTATTCTGTTTTATAGCAAATGCACTTGGAGATTTTACTACGCTGATTTTAAAAACAGTTTCTAATCTAGGAATTTTCCTTGAAAATACTTAATGTAGAAACAAACTGCTAATGTGGTGGTACACTAATAACTGCTGTGTAAAGCTGGATGTTTAATGCAGTGATCATGGTTCCCTAAAATGCTTAAAAAACCCACCATGTTAATATAAAACTTATCTATTCAACATAGTAAACACCAAGCTAAATACAGAAATTGCTCCCACTGCAAAAGATACATATTTTTACCAGTGTTAGTTTTCAGGTCTCTCCGAGTTGATCCAAAGACCAGGTAAACACAAGAACTTAAGTGTTGGTACATGGCAAGTGGCAGCAGCATGAACAGCGGGTATGGCAGGATGATCCCTGCTGGCAGCTGAATAATCTTAAATCACATTAACCTAATAATTTACTGTAACTTATTCCTCCCTCTCATTCCTGCAAATGCAATTTTTCATTTGAAGACAGTTTCCAAGTACAGAGATTACAGTTACCTCAAAGCAAGTAAACTGGTTAGTGAAAGACCGTGCAGCATTCCTTGATCTGTTCTTGGATATTAGTCACAATCACATTTCAAATTTATAGTATCTGCTTCTCAGCCATGTTCAGTAACCAACCAGCAGTCATGTACCTTCTCATATGAAAACTATCTAGCCTTTTAAGTTTGCAGTCTCCCTTTCTATGTATATCCTGTAATCTGTAGTGGATTATTTTGCAGAGGTTCTAGAGATAATTTAGTCCTTCTTTCAATATTTCCAACATCACTCCTCTCAAAGAACTCCAAATAGCACACAAAAATGCATGTGTCAAATAATCAGACCACTCAGAAATAAGACAGAAGAGCACCCAAAGTTAAAATCTGAATCCAAGATACAGAAAAATTATGGCAATTTGACTTTACTGTATATTTATTGGGAGGCTGTTTTTCAAAAAATCTCTAGTTCAAATGACAGCATAATTCTATTAATTCTTCTCTGTAAGCACAATAAATTTATGGTAATCTGAAGATTCATGCCAATTTTATTCAACCATGCTACAGGAGAACAATGGTTTTGCTATGGGTAATGCAAAAAAGAGTTTGTTTAATGCATTTTCTTCGCTACACTGTCAAACACACTTTTAGCTAGTTAAAACATGAGAAAATAGCTTTCTTTTTTTTCCCCTTCAGTAACATGCTTTGCTGAATGCTGTAGCTGAATGCAAATGCACCATCATGGGAAAGTTATTTCACACAAAAAACTGAACAGAACTCAGATGCTTACTGTTCACATGGCCTTTTGATGCTGCAAATTCAATCACTAGTGAGCACTAATTTTATCAGCATAAAGACATCTTAAACACTATACTGCCTTTCACAGTAGCTTTAACTGTGCTATAATGTCAGCATTAAAGAACACGGGAAAGAAAACAGAGCTTCTTCACATGCTTTAACATCGAGTCTGTTGTAAGTATGTTTGGAATTTTATTTTTTTTTCCCATAGATCAGTCAAAGAAACATGATCCCCAGCCTAGTTCCGCCTTCCTACATGGACCATCGCTTCCTATTCCTTTGAACACTACCGAATACCTGCACTCTTCAAAGGAGAAAAACTCTTAAGAGTATCTATGCTGTATAACGGAGCATTATTCAGACAAAACGCTGTGGTGGTTTCATTGGCTAGCCCTGGGCTAGCATTTGTCTAGCAGCCAACGCAGCCGTTCACTCACTCCCCCCCAATCCTCAGGGGTAGGGGAGAGAATTGGGGACAAGGGTAAGGAGACTCATAGGCTGAGAAAATAACAATTTAATAATTAAAATTAAAGAAAACTTAAAATAATACTGATATTAAAATAATAATAGTAATAAAATATGCAAATTAGTGTTACACAATGCAATTGCTGACCACCAGCCAACCAAGCCCGGCCCGTTCCCAGATAACGAACCCAGAGGAGCGACAACCCTGAACCAAAACTGCAATCCCAGGAGAGTGAAAGCCCAAGCGAAAGCTAGAGGAAAAGAGGAAGAGACCCTCATTAATATACTGACCGTGATGGGATATGATATAGAATATCCCACTGGCATATCCAAATGCCAATTTAGCTTATTAATTTAAATATTTCTCACACCCTTAGATATTGCACTTGTAGACTAACAAAACATTAAGTCCTTCACTTCCATTGACAAAAATGAAAACGCTTATATGTAATCAGTGTCTCTCTCATAACAAATCCCAGGCTGAAAGGAAAACACAGCACTGTTCTAGCTACTAAAAAGAAACCCAGCTCTGTCCCAGCTAAAAACCAGTACAAACACAAACATTAGCATAACACTGCACTATATTATATATTGCTTGCTCAGAGAGCTAATTAGAAGAACTTGATACTGTAATACAACACGAAAGATTTCCACTTCACTCAAAAATAGCTTCTGTATCTTTAAAATGATGATCTACTGTTCATTGTCAACATAACCTTACAGTCTGGCTGGTCAATCTATTTGTCCTCATGAAGAGTTAGTAAAAGAAAGATGCCACAACTAGCTAAATGTCACAAGTCAAGTAGAAGGAAGAGCATATGCAGCACTATGGAAGCTGAATGTATAAATCTAGCAGACATAATAACAAAACAGAACAACTTCCCCAGTACAATTACAAGGCATCTAGAGCACAATGAAGTTGCATTAAAATCTATTAAAGTCAAGTTCGTCAAGACTTCCATCTTGATGGTATGCAGCAGCCTCTATTTATTGCTTTCTTTCCATCCCTGTTGATGTGTCAAAGTAGTCAAGATTTTGCAGAAGTCACCCCAAAATAAACAGTTTTAGTCTTTCCATTTCTACCACTTGAACTTGCTTTGTACTTCAGCAAATTAACATTTTTTATTGCAGAGTCTGACAGTCCTGACAGTTGTCAGGAATAATAACTTTTAGAAAGCCATTTAGCATTGCAAGAGATAATCAGCAGTGGAATCTTCTAAGAAGACTTAACAGAAGTCTACACAAATTCAGCACAACTGATGTTTGCCAATGAAGCATCTAAATGACAGATCAAACAAAGTAAGGAAAACAAAGTTAAAACAAGGACAAAGGTTCAGCATGAACTATCTAACAGCTCACCGATACCAAAAGGAAGACGGAAGCCCACCACAGTGGCTCTAGGTACTTTACCTGACCATGCTCTGAGCCATTTTGATTTACTAAATCAGAAGAAAGCTAACTGAGCAAAAGTGAATACTTCCTGATGGGACAGTAGGTTGCCTTATAAAATCCAGACATTCCTAAAATGAACACAAGATGGGATGAGCAAGAGCTATGCAGTTGGGAGAGTGCAATGCTACTTTAATAAAGCAGCTAAGAAATACAGAAAGGTAAGTTGTTTATCCTAATACTATAAAAAAGGTACAAGAAAAAAAAAATCAGCAAAGATTACTCTACAGATTACAAAGCCACCAGTACTAAAGCAACAATTGCAGTAGCTTTAATTCTTACCTGGTTGTTTGGATCTACTCCAGCATAAGAATTGCGTGAACTACAGCCAACAGGGGGGGTTGCTTCTCGTATGAACTCTGACATCTCAATCCCTCCACCAGGGTCACTGATAGAAACAGAAGGGAAAAAAAACAACCAACAACATTAACCTACCAGTTAAACAGAAGTTTGTCTGTCTACACTAAGTGCAGATCCAAAACAATTTTGCCCTTTTCCAATATCAGGGGTTCAAACAGATCCCAGTATCTCAGACACATACTGCCCATTTGACACAGGAAGCTCAGTCAGAGCTGGAGCACCCCATATACTGTCACAGAAGCTGCTACCTTGTAAAGTCCAACTATCACCAGTCAACACAAACCATTAAGACTTAGGAACTACAAGGCACTTTGAAAAGCTGACATATGAAATTCTGTCTACATGTACGCACATGTAACTTTTGGATCATCTGTCCAACTATAATACCCAGAAATCAATCAAAAGAGAAAGTAGTAAATAGAACTCTTTAAAAAAAGAACAAGGAAAGGACTCAGATTGAAGGCACTTGTCATCATCCAGATCTTTTCCTTGGACTGGATCTAGAAGCAAAAGTAAGGATGGGTCATCTAAGAAAGCTATACACTGTCAGTAAAGTTATTGAAAAGGCAGAGACATACAGGGACATAGTAACTCTCCCAGGGACACAAACCACTTCTTTCTACCAGAAAATAACTTACCTTCAGATAATTTACATGCCCTACCAAGAAATACTTTGAAGTACTATCTCTATATCTATCTATCTCTATATCTATCCATATATTATTATGTCCTAGTGATTTCACCCTTTCAGGATTAGTTAAGTATTGGTTTGAAAGCATTTTCTAGGTCAACATCACCAAACTGTAATTCAACGTAATTTAACTTGTCAAAGGCAGTTATTTATGAAACAAAAGCAAGTTGGGCTGCCTATCCATTAGGACAACGGGGTATGAAATGAGTTGTGGACGATTCAGGGATTCAACCTAGCACTGTTTGTTCATGGCAAAGAGGGAGAAGTTGAGGCATCCTTTTTTCTTCTCCCCATAGAGTTCTCTTCAACCATCTTGATCCAGGAGACTTCCTAACAGAAGTAACTGCAGTTTAATTTGACACTAATGTTCTCTGCTCCTTCCCAAAGACAAACAACTGTCTCCCAACAATCAATGATTCAAAGCTGTGGTAAGTCCACTTCAACATTTTGCTGGAGATCAAAAACATGACAAAATAGACAGTCTTAAGTCAGAAATACATTACTTCAATAAAAATAAGTTAAGAGACAACCAGCCATGAGTTGGCAGAACTAAAACTGGACTCCATCAAATTGAAGAAATTAGTGAAAAGCCACCATTTTGGTACAGCTGAGCAGAGAGACATAAGCATGCTCTTATTGATGGCTGTTTACAGAGCTCTCTCTGATCTGATATTATCAATCACACTAAGGCAGAACCAGGTAAGTGGAAAAAAAAACAAACCAACAAAAACTCCACCAAAATCCAGCTTCAGTAAGTTCCACCAGCTTTAACCAAACAAAGTATTCCTTATGTAAGTATGTATTCCTTATGGAAGTATTTTAAGAACACATAAGGACATAACATAAAGTTAAAAACTGAAAAATTCTTGCTGAATATTCAAGTTCAGCATACACTATGATGACAACTGAAGATATAACAAAGAACATCTTTTACAAAAAGATGAAATGCCTTTCCTGTTTGAGTAATTGTTCAGAAACTCTGTATATGGTTAAAGTATGTCCCATGAAATAGATAGAAAGTCCATGTGAATAAGCTCTTATGCACAAATTGTGTAGTTAGCCAGGGTGGGAAAAGGAGGCAATTTTGTCTAAAAGTGAACCAACAGGTATCAGCATAAACAACAATACAACCCAACACCACCACTTCACTCAGAGCTGCTATACTGTGTAACAGACACACAAACTAATGGATTAACAAAAGCTAGTAACAAAAAAACAACAAATAAAGTCTACAGGATCAAGCAGGAAGTACAGATTTCTAGGATTAATCATTGTATGGATAAGGATGTGGACTACAACAGCATGCAGAATCCTTTAGAAGCAATTTTCTGCTAGTGTTGTGGCCGTTCCTTTTTGCCGTTAAGTTCTACAATCAGTTTCTTACAATTTGTTGACTTCATACCTTATAGTAGCAAGTGCTACACTTTTCAGTTTGCAAGCAAAAAGATTGAAGTGAAGTTACTACACAAATTGAAAAGACTGATTAAATCATGTCCAGTTACCTGCAACAGAGATTGCTGTGGAAGAGGAATTCAGAGACTGCACAAAACAAATTAAAAATAGTATTTCTAATTATTAGCACTTGTCCTATCTAAAAATCACTATCTGCAGCTATATTACATTAGTGATTAGTGTGTCAGAGAAAAAGTCTGAAGAGGCTGCAAGTCTACATGAATTCAGAAGTTTAAAACTTGACTTAGGCTGACTGACTAAAGAAAATACGATATTCTGATAAAAACTTGCAAAGAGTTTGGAACGTGCAATTTTGATTTCAGGACAAATCAGAGAAAGATTTTTACACTTCCTTTTGAACACCACTTGCTGTCCTTAATTTCCAACTAAAGTAGCAGGATAATGTCAGAGGCTGCTCTTAAACCACAGAAGGATGACAGCATGTACTGCAAATGCTAGACCACAACAGTTTCAAGTATTAAGAGACTTTTTCTTTAAAGCTTGAATCACTAGTTACAGAGTCAAAAAGGCAAAACAACTCCAAGCTCAAGAACAGGTCTGCCAGTCACAGAAAACTGCAAGAAAAAATAGCAAAGGCAGGGCAAGAGTTGCAGAGATTACTTTTTTTTTCCTCTCTTGCTCATACTCATTTAAGTAGACTACACTCAAAAATAATAAATTAGGGAACTACATTCTCCAGCTGTAAGTTTTATTTTGTAGGAGAAGTGTGTGCAAAATTCATGTAGTATCACGATTACAGCTCCCCCATGCTGACAGAGATCAGCAGTGTTACCAGGTTAATGCTTTATGATACTTGGAACCATAGTAGCCACTGACACAAGAAAGAAACCATATTCATATCCCTAGAAGCAAGTCTGACTTAACTGTTTTATGGTATCTATGTGGGTTCACTGATATTTAACAAAGATTATGCTTGTATTGTTCCTTCTACCTTTTCTGTGAGATTAGGAGCCTCTATCCCCATGACTTGTTTTCATGAAACCTCATAGAAGCATTACCATCACCACACCCTTAAGTATGAAAGCAGCAACTGCACTAGAAGCTACAGAAGACAATTTGCATTCCTATCTCTACATTGACTAGCTTCTTCCAAAAATATTATCTAGAGAATTTCAGCTTTATAGAGGATAAAAAAAAATTTAAAAGACATTTCTTAGGGAACAGTAAGTTGTTCTTTGCTTAAGTATGTCAAAGTTTTATGAAAAGATTAAAAACATCAGTTTGATCCTATTCACAAACCAATGTGAACCAAAGATAAATGAGGAGTTCATGCAAACCTACAAATGACAGCACATAATTTTTGTCAGATAATTGAAAGCACCACTTTGTAGATAAATATCTTCAGAAAGAACAGCAGTTCTTAGAAGCTAAACAGAATACCAAACATAACTTTTGAACAGAAACCAGACTATTACTTAATCCTTCAAAAATACGAATATTCATATCCAAAGTGGTCCCAGGGAGGGGGGTGTGTGTGAGGAAGGTGAAAACTCTAGGACAGCTTTGCACACTACATTCTCTCTATGTATTTATTTAGTATCACACACTATAGACTAAATAACCAAAACTAATATTCTGATCATGCAAATATTTAAGGCAGTATGTCTGCTTAGATCTCCCCTATACCCACCTTATGCTAAGGGAGCAGAGTTTAAAAAAACCAAACAAACAAAAATACCCCCCACATACACTTTCTGCTGAGATTTTTTTTTTTATTAGTGTTCCAATTTAACTTACTAAGAAGGTGGTAGCTCAATATTAAACACTCACTCTACATCCTCTCCACAGGTTTGAATGTTATCCCAGAGTTCTTGTAAGCTTCCAGGCAAAGATTAGTATATACTGTACATCCCACTTACCAAAAAGTACCTCCGTAATTTCTGCATTGACCTTGTTCCCAGTTCTAGTTAAGAGACCTGAAAGTGGGAACAAGGATCGTATAAAAGTTAATGAAACTTCAGTTGGCAAGCAGGACACACAGCATCAAACTAACCTCTACTTCTGAGCTCACAAACGCATATAATGTAGTAACTTGTTGCATGTCAACTGCTCCTTAGACAAAATGGAACTTCTGAAACATCCAGAAGTAACTCACAATACTAGTAGAAAGAAGTCCCTTGCCAAGTCTTGGCTACTCTTTTGGAAGCAAAAAGCTACATGGCTTAAAAAAGCATCTAAGGATCACAGCTAAAACATGCACTAGCAAGATTGCATTGAAACAGAACAGCCCACTAGTTTACTTCCATTAATTTTATTAAGCAGAATAAGCATTAATATACATTTAGGCAAGCATTCTGCCAAAACAGCTCAATACAGTTTTAGTAAGGTATATGGTGATGTAAATGGAGTCACAATTAAAATCAGCAGGTTCAGTTACCAAACACAACAAGGAAAAAGGGTCAGGTTATAAAAGATTGATAAAAGAAGTTACTGTATATCAACTTTAAAGGAATTCAAGACACTGTTTTTGCTAACAATATGCTCCCTAAACTGAGAACAGATACAGAAGAACTTAAGACCCATCTCATGAGAAGCTACCCATATGCACAACGAAGTCCTTTTACTTCTAGGCTGAGCATTTTAAAGAGCATCACTTTTAACACTTCCTTTCTTTAAGCATCCTGATAAACAGACTTAAGAGGTTTCTTTCAACTACACTTCCTTATAGCATGACTCTCCATGTAAAAGCTTCAGGTTTTTTGTTGTTGGTTTTTGTTTTGTTTTAAAAAAAACCAAACATACACAACCTTTTAAGAGTCAGGACAGCACACTAACTGCCTCACTTTGAAAACTATTAATAGCTTCTAGCATCAGAAACTCACAGACAAGAGAAAGGTCTTTAAAAGCTAACAATTCAAGGTTGATTTATTTCATGCAGTCTAACTATCAAGGTGGCCTCAGTTATCTGGAGCCAAGCAGAGGCTTTGATAATAGAGTTCATAACACATCCACAGTCTGATCAGACTGGTTAGGCTGGCCTTGATGAGTCATCTTTTGCTTTTCTTTCTCCAAACAGTCTGGTAAGAGGAGGAAAACCTCTGGGCTTTTTGATGCTGGCAACAGCAAAGATGATCTTTGTAAAGGAACTGACAGTACTTCAGAATCATCATTCACAAGACAAGTGTTCTGAAGTAAGACTATGACTGGAGTCAACCATTGTATCTGACTCCTGCTTTTGCAAAACTAAGCAAATTGAAACCTGATCAGACATTCCTTTTAGCGATAAAAGGCTTAGCATGTAGTATGTAGCCTTTACCAGATGGATTTTTAAAATTATGTCTACTGCTGAAATAATGAACACAACCAGTACAAGTAATCTTAAGTATTTAGTGACCTAATCAGCACACATTTTCCATGCTATTGTTTCCGTGCTTCCAGCATTTTCAGTATTGTTCTGTAATTCCTTGGGGGGACGAACTAGGAAATTAACATGAATTCATCATTTCAAACCAAATACATAAATAAGTCTGCTTTTAAAGACCAGACTTAAACAGTCTTTCAGAACTAGGAATGGCTGCATCTATATTCTTCACTGTTTATTTTAACCAGCATTCCAGTTACACATCTGATGAAGACAGGACTGTTTATCATTTGAAGCAGTGCACAAAAACCAGCAGACACCTTACCTGGGCCCATTGCTGTCTTTCCTCTTGGCTGAAACATTGCTTTGTTCTGTTTTTGCACCTCTGTCCATATGCTCACTGGCATTTCTCTCCACAATTTCTCCCTCATCCAGTGCCCTGTGCAAACGGTAATTCACCATCTTCAAAACGATAAAGAGAGCTGCTATCACCGGGCAGTAGACAGCTACTATCATCATGGAAGAAGGAAGGGCCTTTCAAAAGAGAGTAAGAAAGAGTTAATGAACACAAGGTCAAATGTCTATAAGAATACATAAAGCTATCTAGACTTTAACGGTTTCTTTCATACAGAAAATATTGATCATACTGAAAATGAAGGTTTAAACATGCATCCCCTACAGTCAAAGTTTGTGTAGACCTTGTTCGAAGTCTAGCAATATAAAAAAAAGAAACAGTTGGACCACAAGATACCAAAGCACCACAGCAGCATGCTAAGCAGATCTATCACTGGAGCTTAAGAACCAAATTCAACTCTTGTTCTCTTTCTCCAGGCCATTGGGATGTTAGATCTAGGCTAGGAAACCTAGATCTAGCATGACTTTTTGTCAAATTAGTTGTTATGAATAAAAAAAAGGGGGGGGAGGCGGGAGAGATTTTAACTAAACCAAGCACAGGTTACGACCTTATTTCAAGGCTAGTACACAGCACCAAGTCCATGTTGGAAAAACAAACATAAGTTTGACAGCATGGTAGATGGGAGAAAACCTGCTTAACTACCCAACACATATTTTGACTTAGCTTGTGAGCTTCCAACAGCTAATCTTGCATGACAAGATACCGATCAGTCACAAAAGCCAAACTTTTCCTACCCAAATACAAAAAAAGGCTGTTTACAATTGCAGCTGACACACTTGAGCAGTAGTCCACAATAACCTGCAAGACCACATGCTGCAAAGATTATTTGTGCTAGACCATTACATGTCCATGGAAAGGCAGCCAACGTAGATGCTCTGAAGATAATTTTTCAGCTGTGTCAAAGGTGGCCAAAAGCCACATGAAAAACCTCAGTCCTGAATTCAACTTTTGAAATTCTACTAAAATTTAAGACTTCTCATGCAATTTTTGCGAAGGGCCCGTAAGGCTTTTACGGGTCAATCACTTCAACAGATACTAAGTGCAGCCTAATAGCTATTTAAAAGAAGTGTTCCGAGTACTAGTTAAACTTCAGATTTCACTTCAAGGCTTTCACCCTTCTAATTCACCTTTTATTCATATTTATAATTTTGCCATTTTCCCTAGGCAGTCACTAAACAAAATGAGGTATTAGCTTTTAGTCTTCATCCACAAATAGCCCACTTTCCTTACAAAAGCAACAAGAGCCTGCATTCTCAAATATTTTGCTGCATCACTATCCTTTACCCTACTTATGATGTAGCTTGATACAAAATTCTCACAGCCAAAATATATACACACACAGACGTATGACAATCATAATTAAATAGCATTTGTTACCCAGCATGAATATTCATTTAGTAGATGAGAAGAACAAACGAACTGTCTTTTTAGACCCCCTAGCCTAAGGAGAATGACAGCTTTTTTCATACACCTAGTCACCCTCCCTATACAAGCCATTGCAAAAGAAGAGTCTTTACTGTGATCAAAGCCTCACACACATCTTGCAGAATCAGAAAAGGAACATGACTGGACAATAAGGCAGACACGCCTCTCTATTCTGCACATAAAGCTAGTTTCAGCTTTTTTAGAGAAGAAATCTGATTACAACATTAATATTTCTACATATTCAAGAGCTTATTAGTCCTAGAAGAACTGGCAGTACTTGTCACACAATTTAAGCCATGAGTTTACCAAAAACAGTTTGAAGAGGTCTCTAAATATAAACTACCATACTAATAAAAAGGATAAAAGAATAAACATTTCTAAATATTCTGTTGAGTGTTGACCTGAGAATGAAATCAGTCCTTAAACTGGCTGCTCACTTTTTGGCAGTACGCAAAAACCAAATAATCAATATAACATTTCTAAAGCCAAACAAGTATAAATAATTGAGTCTGGAATCAATCAGGAGGCAGGTTACTTATTAGGATTCTTCTCTTAAAGAGATCAAGTTTAACTTATCTTTTCCTCCAAAACAAGTTAAGTCAGCACCTAATATAACAGTTGAAGCAGGGCAGGCAGACTAAGCTGAGGGATGCTAACTTAGATTTTGCATGCTGAGCTGGACAAAACCCTAACAGATAGGGAGATTCACTTACCAAGCACCACCTCAGGAGGAGAAAGAAGAAATAAAGCTATTTTGAACAGCATCAGTAAGAAACTCGGAGCCACCATCATGCTAATAACATACATACAACCCCTGAAGCAATGCTACAAGGGTTTCCTCAAGAAATGCAGTGCTTCTGCTTCCAAGAACTACAGAGACAGCTAGCTCTCGGCAGGCACAGGTAAGCCAGTTAACTTCAGCAAAAGGTATGAGCTTCCTGCACTTGCTAAGCAGTCTGCTGCCCAATCACAAACACAAATCTAGCTATCCTGTCCTTTACAGGTACCTAGTGTTCAGAAGCCATTATCCAAAGAGTTAGTTTAACACTAGATGACAAGAGCTAGGCCTAGTCAATAAGAGGCAGGCCTATACTTTTCTACCTGGAGAGCTCTTCAATTTCTTCCTTCCACTCCGTCAGCAATGAGATCACACAGTATACCCAGTTTATCTTGTGGAATGCAAAAATCTACATATCCTATTCTGCAAAAGAAAGCTTTGAGAACAACTGGGGGAAAAGGCAAAACACCTCACATAACTTGCAGCAAACCCAATAAAGAATTAAGGGTGCTTTTGCTGCACGTTCTATTTCCACAGGATTGCAGAAAGCTGAAAATAAGGTAAGTTAACTCACTACTTTTCATATTCATTACTAGTTACTCCTCTCTGTATAGGGCACATACTCTGGGAATAGAAGCAGTATTAGCATGTCTGGCATACTCCATTGTCTGATTATACTTTATATTGTCTCATGATGGGGTACAGCAGTGCTACCCATGGTACCAGCAACTCACCTGCATTCCAGTCTCAAAAAGAAAATTTACTGTAACCCAGCTTCAACCACCGGTGCCTTCTCTGTTTTTCTCTTTGTCAAGCTTAGAAGCATTCAACTTCCATTTGTGGTCTTCACAAGTCGAGGTAAGTTAAAATGAAATTCATATTTTAAACTGTGCTTTGACATTTTACCATATTTGAGGAGAGACAGGTCTCTCACCAGCATAACTGAGCACCCTACACAATACCTTCTTCAAGATTGGAATACAGATCCAAGTCCTACAAATTTGCAGCTAGATCTCACTTCTGTTCTTTTCACAAGTACTAAAGCATTTTTTATTGGGTACGATAGACTAAAAGCTTCAGGTTAGAGCTTGTTAGCAGACACCAGCTGCCTACAAGTCTGTAGCTGCAATAGTACTTCAGAGAACATCCCCCATTTTACTGCACATCTCTAGTCACTTCCATTAGCACCAAAAGAAAATATACACTGAACAGCAGTAGTCACAACTGAAGCTCTGCTAGGAGAAAAGAAAGAGCTAAACATGACCATACAAAACCAGCCTGTTTTAATTAAATTCTGTTGAAAACTTCAGTCATCTAGTGGCTGAATAAACCAAATCCTTAGAAAAACTAGTTGAAAGTATATTCCTAAATCTTACAGGGAAGTTAAGCAGGACTTTCAAAGATGGAGGGGGAAGGGAAGGACACTGATTTTCTTCCACCTTTCCCTCAGGAGTTACTTTCCAAATCCAAACCTTTCAAGACAACTTATGAAATCCATACTACACACATGTACAAAGGTAAGATTCAGAAATGCAAAGCTGAGGAGTGGGACTGTCCATTCTGGAAGTTGTTGGCTGTTAGTTGCTGCTGTCAGCACAGCTTTTGTGGAAGTGTGGGTAGAAAAAGCTTTAAGTGCTTTTAGATTCCAGTGGTCAACCTAGAACAGAAAAGAAACCTCAGACTACTAGTTACAGGACTAAAATATTCCTGTTTGAACTACAAAGGTCACTATATCTCGATTCAACATTTCAAACACAGAAAAGCCAGAAACCAGAGGGAATTTCATTGACCACAGGCTGTGCTGCATACTTACAAAGAAACAAAGACTATATGGATCTTACCTAATTACATCTAGTTTTAGCTAGACACTACAGATGCAATAAAGTTTTCAGATTCTTTTCAAAAGAGATGTGTAGGTGTCACCTGTTGAGAACATTCATAGGAATGTCTCTCAACCCAAATCAATCAGATTGCAAGTCCTTACGTAAAAGTGATCTCAAACGAACATTCATTAAGCAGTAACACTTGTCTTGTAAAATGCTTTCAAGTTCAAGCATTTTGAGGACAGTATTTTATAGAAACATTCATAGTGGAGAAGAGGAAATATCAAGAAATGGCAGATGTAGTTTTGTCACCATTTTTGTTTATGAACAGCCAGAGCCCTTAAGAACTACTATTATCAGGAATCAAGTTCAGTTACTAGTTATCTAGTTTTTTACTAAAATCTCAAGTTGTACAAATGAAACTTGAGCAGCCAAGAAACTGTATGTGGCTTAGAGCAATGTGGGATACCAGGGATTCTCATCATACATCCAATTTCAAGTACTTAAACTCATAAGAAACAGCACCTGTTTCAGAAACTTCACTGGGAAGAAAAAAAGAAAAAAAAAAGGTTTATATGACCTATTTCTACAGTTATGTATACAAGTCAAGAAAACAAGTGCCTATCAAGTGAAATGTTGTCTAAATGAGCATGACTTTGACAGACAAGTTCTGTAGGTACATACGAGCCCATCATCCCAATCAAGGTACAGCCCTGGCTCCTCTTCAGTCACTGGCAAAGTTTCCCAAGTGCTAGAGCCAAGACTTCACCCCCTCCTGCGCACATGGTTGGGCTAATATAGCATTCCGACCAGGGGAAGCACTTTGGCAGTCTCCTTTCTTCTCCTCCTCCTTGCAACATTGATCCATAACACCGGTCTTTGCATTTAGGGTATTTTTTCCAGCTCTACCACTGTATTTTACAACCTAGTTGTACAGTTTCACCACATTGTAGCAGAATTTCTTCTCCCAACTTGAGTTTTGGACTAGAGTAAAAACACTGATCAGCTCTTATAACAGATATGCAGGTCAACAAGCACAGTTGAGTCTGTCACTGAATACAAATATTTAAACAGGATAGATTTAACTAGTCTA